AACCCATCCTGTTCTCATCCACCCACCCCTGTAACCTGTCCAGGTCCAATTGCAGCCTGGTCCTCCCTTCTAGCATGCCCACTTCTCCCCACATCTTAGTGTCATCTGCAAATTTGAACAAGGTGCTTTTCACCCCCTCATCCAAGTCGCAGATGAAGATGTTGAACAGTGTGGGCCCAAGGACCAAGTCCTGGGGAACCCCACTGCCCACATCCCTCCAGGTTGAAAATGACCCGTCCACCACCACTCTCTGGGTGCGGCCCTCCCACCAATTTGCAACCCATCCAACTGTATAGGCATTGACACCACAGGCACCTAATTTTTTAATGAGAATGGGGTGAGAGACAGTGTCAAAGGCCTTCCTGAAGTCCAGAAAGACTACATCTACCGCGACACCTGTGTCCAAGGATTTTGTGACTTGGTCGTAGAAGGCAACCAGGTTTGTCTGACAGAACCTGCCCCTAACGAACCCATGTTTGTTGCCCCTAAGCATAATCTCCCCTGCTGGTCCCTTGCAGATGTGCTCCTGGATAATTTTCTCAAAGAGCTTCCCCAGGACCGAGGTAAGACTAATGGGCCTATAGTTTCCTGGGTCCTCCTTCCTCTCTTTTTTGAACATGGGGACCACACTGGCACTTTTCCAGACCTCTGGCACCTCTCCAGAGCACCACGAGTGCTTGCTGAGCTGTGCCAGGGGTCCTGCGATGACCTCTGCCAATCCCCTCAACACTCTGGGGTGGAGATCGTCAAGACCTGCTGATTTGAACATGTCTAGTCTCACCAGAAGTTCCCTGACTAGGTCCTCACTGACCCTGGACCTGGCTGCACCTCCCCTGAGTCCGTTCCAGGATCCTGGTTGGGGGGATGCCCCGGTCCCGGCTCAGAAAAATGGAGGCAAAGAAATTGTTAAAGAGGTTAGCTTTGTTGTTCCTACCCTAAATGTCTTACAGTGACCACAGATTTAACATGGGAAGACACCAGAATAAATAAAAGGAAATGATGAAAATTTGGAAATTCTGAAGAGCAGGTTAGATAAACATTTGGCTGGGATGGTCTCCTGCCCTGAGCAGGGGACTAGACTAGACCTTGTGAGGTCCCTTCCTATGATCCCTTCTTTCCTATGATACCACGAGTGTTGAACATTATACAGTATATTGATTAACAAGGTAGAAGATATAATTCTTCACGACTGCTGCCAACTGTTTTCGAAGGGTTCATTTGTAGATGTAAAATCTCCCATGGTTAGCAACAGTTTGCTCTAAGGCCAAGTCCTAATTATGCTAAAGTCAATGGAAGTTTTACCAGTGATTTCAATGGCAGCCTGTCCCACTGTTTTGGTAATATTAAAATAATGCTATATGCAGAGCATCATCTCTGAGATTTACATTTAATAATTCATCCAGGGGATGCATAATAAGTAAAACAATATTAAAAATCAGATTAAAAGACATTAATCCCAACATATACATTCTGCATACTGTATATATATTGCTCACTTTCAGATTCCATTAGAGGCTAGTACCTTGTCATTGTTATATAAATGAACCAAAATAGAAGTCTGGATTCCAACTATATACTGAAGATACATATAATTAAAACAAGTAATTATTACATAAAAAGGGGCTATCAAGCAAAAGGGTAGGAAGATCAAATCTCAAAGCTGTGAACACTTATTCAAGGGATAAAGAGAACTGAACTGAATAATAGATGCACATAACTATAACTAGATTTGTTTAAAGTAATATATTAACAGTTTTTATACTTACAGGAAATGGCTCTAGTCCCTCCTGAATTACAAAGCCCTCAATGACATGTGTCAGAATCTGTGGTTTAACAATAGCTTGTGGAGGTCTGTTTTCTAGGCTAGGAATGCTATTAGGCATTGATGTGCTGTTACTCCTTGTTGTTGCTGCTGGAAGCAGAAGTGGAGGTGGTGGAATAGATGTATGTGAAGGGTCTAATGGAGATTTAATTACTGAGGCACTCACTGAAGAAGCCACTGCAGGAAGTCCCACTTGTTCTGGAAAAAGTAATACAAAAAATTTTATATTACATTACTACTTGGGACCAGATACCTTAATAGAGTTACAAAAGGCAGAGAACACCTCGATTCCTGTATTCTTCATTTTGTAAATGTAGATTTCCTCTCAAGATGAAGACATTTAAAATTTATACAAACATTTAAAATTTATACAAAATTACGTCTTCACCACTTTCAATATCAGACGTGCTACACAAATGAATATTTCTCATATTTAGAATTTTTTCCCAACATTCAAACGAATTTATCCTCTATTCAATATCTCCTAGACCAGTGGTGCGCAACCTTCTTGCCTGGTAGGCTGGAGTGGCAGTGCCTGGTCCATTTATGGACTGGATCCAGCTGGTATTCCTAACCTAGTGCCCAGGCAGGCATAGCAGGCACCACCTGGCCATGTGGAAGGGGACAGAGAGCAGGCCGGCCCAAAGGAGCTTGCCCCAGCTCCATGGAGAGGGAAGGGGATGTGGCCAGGTCCTCAACCAGCCCTGCAGAGAGGGAAGGGGACATGGCCCAGCCCTGTGGGGGTGGAGGGAGGGGGAAGAGGGTATGGCAAGCCCCCAACCTAGCCCCACAAGGAAAAGGGACATGGCCCAGCTCCAACAGAAGGGAAAGGGATGCAACCAAGCCCTGCTGCAAAATGGAGTGTGACCAGGCCCCAACCTGGTCCTGCAGAGGGAACAGGGAGTGTCCTGGTCCTGAAGGGGAGGGGGCATAGCCAGGCCCCAACCTGACTCCACAGAGGAAGGGGGTGTGGCCCAGCTACAATGGGAGGTAACGGGGCATGGTCCAGCCTCAATTCAGAAGCATCTCGAGTAGAGCCAAGGAGGTGATCCTCCCCCTCTACGCGACACTGGTCAGGCCACAGCTGGAGTATTGTGTCCAGTTCTGTGCGCCCCATTTCAAGAGGGATGTGGACAATATGGAGAGGGTCCAGAGGAGGGCCACCCGCATGATCCGGGGACAACAGGGCAGACCCTACAGTGAGAGACTGCGGGACCTGAACCTATTCAGCCTCCACAAGAGAAGGCTGAGGGGGGACCTGGTGACCGTCTATAGACTCACTAGGGGGGACCAGAAGGGTTTGGGGGAGACGCTGTTTCCCCTAGCGCCCGCTGGCATAACAAGGAGTAATGGGCACAAGTTGATGGAGAGGAGGTATAGATTGGACATCCGCAAAAACTACTTCACAGTTAGGGCGGCTAGGAGCTGGAACCAACTTCCAAGGGAAGTGGTGCTGGCCCCTACCCTGGGGGTCTTTAAGAAGAGGCTGGATGCCTACCTGGCTGGACTCATTTGAGTCCCGTTTCTTGTTTTGGGGTTTTGTTGTTCTCCCGCCCTGGCAGGGGGTCGGGCTAGAAGATCTACTAGGTCCCTTCCGACCCTAAATCTATGAAACTATGAAGGAGGGGGAATGTGGCCCAGCCCCGCAAGGGAAAGGGTTGCAGCCCAGGCTGGTCCACTGCACAGGGCTTGTGTATTTGGCAAGGTGGGTGGTGGCTGTATTAACCGCCATTTCTCTCTCACTGCCAAATTTCCCGACTTGTGGAGAGTCCCGTGGGCTGCATTTGGCCTGCAGGCTGAAGGTTGAACACCCCTGTCTTAGATTTATCTACCTTTGACCACCACAAATAATTGTGAAATATTTGTATTCTGTAGCCGAGAATCATCCACCTAGATTGTAATTCAGTGAACAGGAGCAGTGACCAAAGTTTACAGACATGAGTCTCTAAAGTTGGGCAGGGCCCCATATTTAGGCCCTTCAATAGAAGTGATTTGATTTTCTGAGGCACAGAACAGTGCCTCTCCACATCTGAAGGTCAAACCACTTCTATTTAGATACATAAATATGGGTATAGAGCCCTGGAAAACCAAGTTTGAGCGTTGTGGTTTGAATCTCTTATGTGTCTAAAAATGGCCTACTTATCTACAGTAGTGAATATAAAAGTATCTATAAATATTAAGTACCCATAAGCACATACACATATGCGTTATATATAGGCTTGGCAGAATTCTTTTTTTTTTTTAATTTGATGGCTAAAAATCAATATTTAAGCATTTATTTTGATTTTTATTAAAATTTTCAAGATTGTGCAAAATTAAGAGTGTTTTTGATTTTTACAGATTTAAATTTTCAGGGTTACGTGAAATTAGGGGTGTGGAGGACAAACAATTTATTAATGACAGTATACTGTTAAAAACTTTATAAAATCAGAAGTCAAAATATAAAAAGTTAATATCCATAAATCAAGAAATCACACCTGTTTTAAATCATTCTGTTCATTCATCAGGAAAGAGTTGGACCAGCAGAGACCAGAAGAGGAGGGCAGCAGCACTCCCAGAGCTCTGGCAGCACGGGCAGAAGTGGCAGCCATCTTTGGTCCCCGTGCTTGGCCGGTGCAGCCTGGCCAAGACACTGTTGCCACTGGGTTGGAGCTTTGAATACTTTCCCCCTCCTCACTCTAGACTTTGGGGTAGGGGTTTATTTAAGTAGCCTGCTATCCCCCTCCCAACTGCTTCTCCCACCTGTGAAAAAACAGCTGATTCCTTAAGTGATGAGTCATTAGGCCAGAAGAGACAGCTAACTGCTTAATTAACAAGTAATTAGGCTGCCCACAGTTTTCCTTGTTAGCCCCTCCATTTCTCTTGATCCACTGTCTAGTAACAGGGGTAAGGCTTCCCCGTTACAGGCCCCTTTCTCTAAATTTCAATGATTACCAATGGAAATATTTTTCCAGTCTGTGAGAGAGAGGTGATTTCACTGTTTATTGATAAAAAAAAATCAAATTCTGCCAAGCCTAATTATATACATATTATTAGCTTTCAACTGAAAACAGTACAGTTCATATAGCTCAACATATCAATTATTTGTTATAAGTGAGTCAATATTTAGTAAATAATTTTATTTTAAACATGTAATACAAGATTAACTTGGAACCAGTCAGATGTAGACATACTTTAAACTAAAATACCCTACAAATGTCTTGCAGTTTCTTTGGTCCTTCAGTACCCTAGCCCTTCTCTATTGCTTCTGATCAGGAGTCACTAATTTGCTTCTAAAATTAAAAAACATAATGGTCTCCTGTAAAACACTTCCCTTCATCTTTCTAGCTCTAGAGGCTTATGGAATCTTTTAACTGAAACTAATTAAAACAGTAAGAATAAAACTTCCATTTAAGAAATTTGTGAATGTGAGATTGATACTTGGATTTTTAATGTACTCTGGATTTAAAATAAGTGAGTTCACACTAAAGTTTCTCACCAAAATTAATAAAGCCCTGCAACAAGATAGGGGTTAGAAAGTAACAAGACTGAAGATGCTCTCCAATACACTGTACTGCTGAGTAGATGAATACTGACATCTAGCTAAGTACATTTGGGGAATTTAAATGTCCAGTATCAGGTCTAGGCTAGAAAGAGACCCATGACTAAAGTGTGGGACAAACAAATAGCCAAATTCCCAGAAACTTCTAAATGAGTAACACTACAGACTTCTTTATGTAGTGGATACCTGTGTTTGCTACAACTTGAAAGAAAACTCCTGCCTAAACCCTTTTGAACTCCCCAAAAAATCTCATGGAAATATTAGCTGATTCATGACTGTTACAAGCAGGGATGCAGGTTTTCCATTTCCCACAAAACAACAGAAGAAACTGTGGATTTTCCCTTTTACCCAAGAAAAACATGGGCTTTTCAATTTAATGGAGAAATGCACAGATTTTGCTTTTTTGCAAAGAGCTCTGTGCAGGCTGGCAAAGTTCCAGCCTGCAGGGGGCTGAGGGGAGCAGGAGGAGGGTGGTTAGGCAAGAAGCGCCATGTGCATGCACATAGGTGCCGGGCAGCCTGGAGAGCAGCTCCTGCAGGTAAGTCTATGGGCAGGGAACTGAGGCCCTCACAGGGAGGGAGGGAGTTGGACATGGCAGGGTTAAGACTGGGGCTGCTGCTCAGCCAGGTGGTACACAGGGCTTGGTCTCAGGGCCCCAGCAGGGAGCAGGATGGGGTCACAGGCAGCTCATCTGGGGGGCAGAAGGGGGGCAAAGCTGGCTCTCTGCCGCTGTGTGTGCTCCCAGGCACACAAGGGGGACCCACACCCCCAAGATCTGTACATGCGGCAGGGGCAGGTGTGGGCTGACTCCTGCAGGCTTGGGCTTCCCACCCTGCTGCCCTCCCTCTGAGGTCCCTGTGGTGCAGCGAGTGGGACCTGGTGCAGCAGGGCAGAAAGGGGCTGGGCAGCGAAGCTCCTTGCTGCTGTGAGCTCCACACTGCCGTGGTGACATGTCCTGTGTGGGGACTGTTGGGAGGGAGTGAGGGGCACCAACAGAGCCAGGGGCTGGGC